TTCGCGCACGCGCTTTTGTGCGCGTAAAATATAGCAGATATTTAAAAAAAATATATATATATATATAATAATATTTAATACGCGTTTAAGGTTTTTAGTAAATAAAAATGTAGTCTAGTGTGTACCTAGCATCAATATGATATGAGTGAAATACAAATTGTACGGAAATGTACAATTCAGGTGAGAGACAGGTGTGACAGGAGAGCAAACGATAAATCATTCTTGTCTCTTTGATATCTTGATATCGGATTGACATCTTCGATTGACACAAACTGTTTGTTCGGATCGATTCAAAGTCTCTAATTGTTGAGATCAGATATTTAAAAAAAATACATACACTTTTGCACACTATATTCCATACTTTTTCGCGATTGTACATTCTGTTCGTTTCGCTGTGTTTGTCAGAATTTATTAGCGTTGTTGTATATTCAAGCACCGCCGGTAATGAGAAATTTTAATATAACTTGAGTTCTCTCTCTCTCTCTCTCTCTCTCTCTCTCTCTCTCTCTCTCTTTCTCTCGATATGAGTTTCGCATGAGACGGCGTAATTAGCGCCTCGATAATCGAAGCCTAAAGTTTCCCTTCGACCTTACCGGCTCATTGACACTGGCAGCACCGTTACGAAGTCCGCCAACTAATCCCCCCACCTCTCTTTCGACATCCAAATAGTGTCGGTGCAAACTTGTCCAAGTTCCGACTGCAGTTTGAGCTAGGTAGAATACGTAATGAGTACGTGGGTTCTTGACTTCTCGGACCATTATACAAGCTGGCCTATTATGACTAATCGCTCGGTGCGTTCTATAGCCACTGCTATAGTATTCGTGTGACGAATGAAACTCGTATACACTAATCGCACACACACACACACACACACACACACACATAATCAAATACCGTGCCATTGATTTATGTTTGAACAAATAAAAATTTGTAACGAAATGTGTGACACATGGATAGATGGAAATATAGATAGATAGATCGTATCCGTGATAAATGGATACAAAGAGTCGGGGAGAGAGAGAGAGAGAGAGAGAAAAAGAAGAGAGAGAGAGAGAGAGAGAGAAGAGAGTTTAGGCTCGATGATTCTATAGCGATGTATTAGCGCCACGATTGCCGGCATCAGCCTCAGCCTAAGTGAATGGCTCTGCCGAGGGCTGTGCTGATTATGGTGTCGCCATTGATCCAGATCGAAATTGGCTTGCCTCTGTCATGGAACGCACCCAGAGGACCATTAATATCCTCTGCGAGCATACCACGAGTGAACGGGCGCGTCGTAGTATCGATGGTAAAGAGGGAAAGAGACCAGGCTAATAGCAAATAAGCCGCAAATCGAGGCGTTAAGTCTCTCTCTCTCTCTCTCTCCCTCTCTATCTCTTCCGATTGCACAATGATGCTTTCCGGCACAATACCCGGTTAAACAAAAAGTCACGATGAAGAATTTTCTTAGGGTATTGGCTCATGCGCGAGATCGAACACATTTTACACACATTTACACACATTTTACACATTTCCTACTTTTATCTTTTTTATGATGAGAATATATGGTAATGTAATATATATACTAGATGATATACACAAGAAAAGATGTACATAATATATATACTCAAATGTAAGGATATACGTTTGATACGTGTGACGCGTGCGATTCGAGTGTAAATAAAAATTTATGGACTAACCGAACCGCGCTTCGATAAAAAAAAGTGACAACTTTTTTATAAATATAGTAAATTACAAATACGGTATTTTTGATTTGTACACATCTATAAATTCTCTTTTTCGGATGCGGATTCAAATTATTCGTCTTTGTAAATATGTCAGTAATATAACAACGGGGATTAATTATGAAAACTTGTCTGATTCGCTTACATCGCGCACTCTCATTAGTCATCTCTCTCTCTCTTATTGATCTTTTCGGAATAATTTATTGTAAAATAAATACTCTAATACAATTAATAAATAATCTCCGATACACTTGTTTTTTTTCGCCAATTTGTTTTTACCACGAACAAATAGAAAAAGTTAGAATAAAAGTTTTAGTTGAAACTTAAATATTTGAAAAAATTAAAACAATTGTTTTTTTATTTGGAGAACAAATAAGTACGTGTATATATATACACACACACACGCACACATATGTATGTACATAGAGAAAGAGAGAAAGAAAAGAAATTCAGATATAATCTTCGGAGGAAATGATCGTCTATAAATGTTGTTGATGTCGAAATTGTACATTTCTGATTCCGCGATAGGTATATATATATATATATATATATATTTTTTTTTGGCGAGATCTCGTGAACGTGGCGATGAAGACTCGAGGTAGATGGTGCTTCCTTCCTCTCCATCTGTATCTGTCGATTGCCAATATCTCGGCAAGACGGCAAGAGACGGCGGCGGAATCGAACAGGCGGGATTCCTGGTTCTGATAAGAGTTAGTGCTCACTTGTTGACCCGTTTCAACGATCGTAACTTATCGAGATACGAGACTGGCGATTGAGAGCAACGACGCGTGAGGTCAGATTCCGAGAGTTTCGAATTTATTGAGAGAAGTCTTAATACGCGAAATATGTGTCGCGTATTGATAGTTTTTCAAGATTTTCACAGTTACTCGCTCTCTCTCTCTCTCTCTCTCTCTCTCTCTTTCTTTCGCGCACAATCGATTGCAAGATCTCGATGCAATTTCGTTGATGTTGAATTCCGCCGATTCTCGACGGTTTTCACTTTTTTTTTTGTTATTAAGAATTGGGCGCTCGACTAAGTAGCAACGATTCCTCGTCTCGTCAACAATTGTCACAGTATAATATTCACGGGGGTGAATATGCACGGTCAATTGAATATTAGTGCTACTCACACTTGGTCGAGAATCCAACTAACCGTTAGTAATTCATGCAGCGTCATTAGTTGCTCGGTGATCGGCGTTACGGCGTCAAGTGGAATCATGAAGCGAGTAAATTTTCTGTTTCATCGTCTGTATGTAAATGATCGGTAGTCGGGGAGGCAGGCATTTCGACACATCGTTTGCTACGATGCAATTGGCGCACTTGCCAGCGAAATTGCCTACAAGCTCCGGTGTGCGTAGACCAATAGCAATCTCCTTTATGGATAGCTACAGATAGATCTAATAATGGGAATTGTTTGCAAACTACATGACTTCGCTGTAGCAACACAACGCAAATAGCTCGACTGTATTGTAACAGGAGTTATTCCGTTTTATTTATTACGATCATATGTGTTTTCGATGATCGATGTAATTGAAACTGTTATCACTTTGGGTCGTTATCACGGTGCGTCTTTTCTTGTTATCGACGCGTGGGGTAAAAGTGCCTGTTGCGAGATATCTTCTTTTAAAAAGGCTTGTAATTTATTAAATATGTAATCTTGACTCTTAGTTTTTTGTTTTCAAACTCATGGGAAATATATTCAAGTTTTAGTCGCCAAAAGTTAGCAATCGATAATACACCGAAAAAATGGTATTCTTGTTTTGAGGATATCCCACTTACTTTAAATATATTTTATACTAAAATAGGCGCCAAGAAGAGTTTCTTATTTTAAGAGGAAAATCCTCTAAATAGTAATATTGATAAGAATATATACTGATTAGAATATAAAAAGCCTCTATAGAAAAACATATATATCTCACTACCGAAAAAGACTATATTCTTAAATAAAGAATATATTCTTAAATAAAGAATATATTCTTAAATAAAGAATATATTCTAAATAAAGAATATATTCTTAATTTCAGAAGAATATCATCTAAAATCTTTAAGAAGATTTTTTAAGTATAAAATCTTCTACTTACGAGAATATAACTTTTTCGGTGTAGGTACACTTTGTTTCATGTGAATTTTTTTTATCAAAAGTGTCGATTTTGCTGATTCAAAACAAAAAAAAAGTTCCTAAGACGAGACACGAGGGGTTTCTTTCCTATAGGAATCTTAAAGACAACAGAACTATCGTCACTCTTACACCGAAAAAATTATATTCTCGTAAGTAGAAGATTTTATACTTAAAAAATCTTCTTAAAGATTTTAGATGATATTCTTCTGAAATTAAGAATATATTCTTTATTTAAGAATATAGTCTTTTTTGATAGTGAGATATATATGTTTTTCTATAAAGGCTTTTTATATTCTAATCAGTATATATTCTTATCAATATTATACTATTTAGAGGATTTTCCTCTTAAAATAAGAAACTCTTCTTGGCGCCTATTTTAGTATAAAATATACTTAAAGTAAGTGGGATATCTCTCCTCAAAACAAGAATACAATTTTTTCGGTGTAACATATCGCTCAACAATATGCTTTGGGACATTTAATTGTTTACATGTTTTTGAATATTTCATTATTTTTTTGTTTCTTACTGTCTTAACAGTCTTTAATTAACAGTCTTTAAGGGGCCGCGATTGCTTTCTTCTTTGCATCCATCTGAAAATATGATTTACCAAAAGCTTATACCAATACATCAAATATAAAGAACTCGACAGTTCCTAATACAAAGTACCCCATTATTAAGAGCGGCTGCGTGTCTCATATTAGGGAATATAAAATTGTAGAGAAAGTTTAAGTTTATGCCGACAAAAAATATGCAATAAATTTGGACAAAACTACGTGATAAATTACTTATAGCGCGTGTGTACATCAGAGTGAATCGAAATGCGACAGTGAAGCCTGTGACACAAAAGTGTCAAATACATATTTCAAAGTTACGATGATTATTTTTCGTCTCTGCGCGTATAAAATATCTCCTTCGCAGACATCGGCTTCGGCAGTTAGCGACACTGACAAAAAGTTTGATGTTTTTTTGTGTAAGTAATGCGTTAAAAATACGCAGTTACGAATTTGTAGCCGTTTGAACATGAAATAGCTCGCTGTCTCGTATATCGGGCGATTATCTCGTAATAGGCATTTTTATCCTGTAACCCAATCAATCTGATTGCGACGAGAAAGGAGAAGGATCATATTAACAACTCTAGCGAATCGTCACGTTCAACTTACTTGTGCACCGACAAGGCCAGCGCGTAATCTAGGGATATCTGTGTGACTCCAATCTGATCTGGCCCAAGGATCGACTCTGCCGAGATCGCTGCTCAAGTTCACCTCGCCAAGTTGATTGTGTACGAATTTTCTGACGTTCCAGGGCAAATCGTTGTGCCTGCGAATCAAAATCGTACTTGTATCCGCTGAAATGCGGAGATATACGATTTTACTGGTTTTTTTTTTTTTTTTCAGAGAGGATATTGCACACATCGTGCGGACTGCAACGCGGAACAATGCTTTTTGAATATTTTATATTTTATATTGACTAGTTTTTTTTTTTTTTTTTTTTTTTTTTTTTTTTTTTTTTTTAAAAAAAAGCTTTAATAATGCCGCTATATCGACGCTTGCTTTCCGTCATCTTGTTTGTTTCTGTCAATCACGTCGATGACGAATAAGCACTTACCCGTCGATCAGAGGCACTTCAGTGAGGATCCTCCTGATCACGTCCAGCCTCTGCTGGTGCGTGGCAGGCGCGGATTGAAGGAGAAACGGCAAACAGAGACCTCCGAGGAGCAGGACGGCCACTAGGAGCAAGACGGGCGCCAATAGCCGACACTTCCTGCGAGGACTCTCGTCTCTGCGATCCTTACTGCTGCCGCTGCTAGGCGAGTCCTCGCACGGCGGTGGTAATCGCACAGTGCCGTTGCATGGCGCAACGTCTGGCAGTTCTGTTAGGCACGTGGTCTGAAAACAAAAGAAGAAACAAATACAAAAATTAATATTATTCAAATACTCAAAAGATTTTATTGGCATTTTCTATTTGATTGTCTTATAGTAGTATCATTACCATCCAATTTCTCACACACAATTTTTGTAAAATAAAATATACAATATTCGCGCACGTTAATCGTCTGGCAGAAAAATGTATCATTACTATAGCGCGCTCATGTAGCGGAAACGAAAGATACAGCGACTGCAAGCTGTCCGTTAAAAGATATAAACAGCTTGGATAGAAATGCAACTTCAAAGCAGAACTGGAAAGGAAACAAAACTCTTTTCGCGGCGTCACTGCAACACTCAGCAGGCAACGTGGCAAACTTTTGTTCGCCCTCCTTTCGACTATCATAAAACACGTTAACGCCTAGCGTTACTACGGATTTTCCGCGTGTGTATATATGTACACAAATATATATGTGTATGGTATATAGCGTGAGGGTATAGAGAAAGAGAGAGAGAGAGAGAAACGTAGTTGTCTGACGGAAAAGACGTGAAAATTCTTGAAAAGACTTGAAGAATCTTCGGAAATTTTTTCTCAGATTTTTATCATCAGTAAAACAACTTATCAAATCTCGCAACGTATCTTTCTTTGGATACACCGAAAAAATTATATTCTTGTAAGTAGAAGATTTTATACTTAAAAAATCTTCTTAAAGATTTTAGATGATATTCTTCTGAAATTAAGAATATATATCTTTATTTAAGAATATATTCTTAATTTAAGAATAGGTATAGTCTTTTTCGATAGTGAGATATATGTTTTTCTATAGAGGCTTTTTATATTCTAATCGGTATATATTCTTATCAATATTACTATTTAGAGAATTTTCCTCTTAAAATAAGAAACTCTTTTTTTGGCGCCTATTTTAGTATAAAATATATTTAAAATAAGTGGGATATTCTCAAAACAAGAATACAATTTTTTCGGTGCACACCGAAAAAATTATATTCTTGTAAGTAGAAGATTTTATGCTTAAAAAATCTTCTTAAAGATTTTAGATGATATTCTTCTGAAATTAAGAGTATATTCTTTATTTAATAGTCTTCTTTATTTAAGAATATATTCTTAATTTAAGAATAGTCTTTTTCGATAGTGAGATATATATGTTTTTCTATATAGAGGCTTTTTATATTCTAATCAGTATATATTCTTATCAATATTACTATTTAGAGGATTTTTCTCTTAAAATAAGAAACTCTTCTTGGCGCCTATTTTCGTATAAAATATACTTAAAGTAAGTGGGATATCTCTCCTCAAAACAAGAATACAATTTTTTCGGTGTACTTATCAGATTTCGCGCGATTACGAAAACAAAAAAAAAATATTTCACAATAAATGAAATAAAACGACGAGACTCCTTTTGAGACGAACTTTTCAACGTATTCTCGTCGTGTGTAACAAATATGTGAAATTGTTTCGCGATGGGTTCTCTCTATTACTTGGACCGCTTACTAACGCGCGCGCTCTAAAGTTTATACATCTCGCCATTACACAACCACCGCGACAGAGATAAAAGACACGCAAAGTTTTAGAGAGAACGCTTATCTCTCGCCGTTCACAATTTCGGGAATCGAATAAGCGAGATATGGCGCGGTGCGGAGGACAAACAATAAGTTTTCAGTCGTAAAAGTCGTCGCGGAGTTTACCCGTCGTTAATGGGACTTCGCCATTGCGAAGAAGAAGGAATCAAGACAGGGAACAGGTCGCGGAAACTTTTAAAAGCGCAAATAGGTAATATAACTCGTACTTGTGATAATACGTCCATCCGGGGCGTTTAAAGCGGCGACGGCAAACGTTACGTCCGTTGTAGAAACAGTTTCCATTTTTATGAACACACGTGCGTGCGCGAAATAAAAAAAAAAAAAAAAAAAAAGAGATAGACGAACGCGCGCGCGCGCGCAGGAAAAGAGTATGAAAGATCATACCGACGCAGCGCGCGAAAGCATTGTCAAGTTTTCGTATAAATTTCTCCTCGACGTAAATTCAAAGACCGCTGCAGGGAAGCTCGTATAAAGCGAGCCGGAAGGATGGTCGGTAGACGAAACGAGAGAACCGGGGGAGGGTTTCGTCTATAAAGAGGGGAGAGATTCGCGTTCGAGACACAGCGCACCCCTTTATATCCTCCTGCTTCTCTCGCCTTTATCTAGACCGTCTCCTCGTTCTCTTAATTCCGGTGCGATTAACTATCCGCACCGCCGAGAAATTAGTCCTTCTTGTTTCTATCTTCCACTCTCTCTCTCTCTCTCTCTCTCTCTCTCTCTCTCTCTCTCTCTCTCGCAGTTATTTTTATCCACTTTCTCGTCACATATTTTGCTATTTTCTTTTCTCTGCGTCGATTTTCTCACTTGTCCTTAAACGCGAGATTGTGCAAAAGCAGCTTTGTATTTTTGTACGAAACTATATAACATACAAAACTATGCCAGTTTACGTAACACAATTGAGAATAGCGGTGTTGAATACACGTGACACACATTTAAATCGGATCAGAAGCAGAACGGAAGCAATTTTCTGGATTTCAAACAACGTGTCAGTTAATCAAAATAAGAGAAGATTCGGAGATTTGTTGACACAAAATAGGTACGAAACGAAACCGTCGCTTTCGCGTCCCCGAGTATGTACGAAAGAAAATGTAACGAGAGAAATGTAATCGGCATTCAGAATGAAAATCGTGCCTTCTCTCTGTTATCAATTCGGAATTATCTTGCTTGTCTCAACGAACAAATACCTCGAATTCTCACCCCCCGTCTCGTTTATTATCGTTTCGCGCCGCATTAAATTCTAGGGCGCGCGTGTATTCCCTCGACTCTTTTTAATCTCTTCGAGAATCCGCTTCGAAACGCTTTAATTTCGCCGTTTTTATCTTCTCAATTGTATGAGTTGCGCTCGTTAAATGTTAAATTTTCTGCATGTGACACAACGGGGAGGGAAAGGGAACTTGTACCAACCTTCCCTACGCGATTTAGACTCGCATGGATTAGACTTGATGCATTTACGCCATTTTAGCGGTCCAAATGTCTCGACGCGACGAGACAAGGCGGAGAGAGATGTGCTAACACAACACGGAGAACATACGTAAACACACACGGTCGTAATTAAGGATGACTTTTGTTCTCGCGACCAGCCATTGCGACCCCGCACACACCGCACACAAATTTAATATGTAATAATAATGTTTAATAATAATAATGATAATAATAACAAATAACGCGAAACAAAGAAAAAAGAGAAAAGAGCTTTTTTTGTTTATTCGGACGTGATATAATTTACAATGTTAATCTGATGATTTAATTTGATACTTTCGCGGTGCGTGTTGTATTATAAACATTTGAAAATGTTTTTTGAATCGCGAATTATTGTCATTTTTATACCCGACGTTTCGCGCGAACATTTCAGCTCGCTTCATTTATTGTTAAAGTTTCAAGATCAATCTGACACCGATCATGCGTTCGGGTTCAAAAACCCGAAAAACATCTTCGAATGTTAATTCATAACGTTCTCGTCGTCAGAGACAAGACTGATATATTATTGCATTGTTTTATCGATTTATATACGAGTTCTGTCAAATTTTTTTTTTTTTTTTTTTCATATTCCGTTCCACTTCATAATTAAAACTATACGTACTTTGATTCTTTGCGTTGTGTCTGTCTTCTTTGACACAATTCTTTCGCTCCGTCTTTAATTAATTAACAATTATGAGATCAGCGGCAAAGAACTCAGAAAAAAAAAAAAATAAACAAAACGAAGCAACCCGGTTAAAAATAAGTGGACGAGCGAGAGTCGCTTTTGTAAAAGCGAAACTCGTCGAAGAGAAGTCGTCTTCTATATTGGAATTAAATAATTTAATGCGCCGCGTAATTCCGCAAGCTCTTCTCCCCCCCCTCCCGGAAAGTCCCGGCAAGATCTGTTCAGCATCTAAATTGAAACTTTGGCGCCTTCGATATCCTTCCGCAATGTAACAAAATAATGCGCATTGTTTGAATTAAATTTCAAACGCGCGCGCGCGCGCGCACGCGTTTTCTAACGCTTTTCTCAGCGACTGTGTCGCAATTCCATTTTCTTTGTTTTGTTTGTTTTGTTCGACACACTTTTATATAATCCGATTAAAATCTTGTGCAAATTTTTCGACTGCAAAAGCGTCTAAACAATCGGTCTTTTGTGATAATATTTGGAGCATAAAAGGATTTTTATATTATACATATGTATCGTACTTGGTGTTAATTTGTATGTGTTGTAGTCCCAGTCGTTTATTACTTTTCTACTTACTCGTATGTGAAATGCTTTTAATTTTACTCTATTAGCGAGCGTTCTTGCGTCTACATCGCCAGCAACATTCTTTACGCACACACACATTTCCCACTTCGGTAATAAATTTTCCGACAAGTTCTCGCGAGCTTGTCATTTTCACGATGACATACAATACAAAATGTATTATGCATTCTTGCAAAATCTTCCGGGAACGGGGGTCTCGTCTTGAAAAATTGAAACACAATTCACGGCTATTCATTCGCGTCTGTCCGAGAGATGTTTTCCTCTCGCATCCGCGGTGCATGCGAGGCAATCGATTTTTCCGGTATTAAGAGAAAAAAAAAAAAAGAAAGAAAAGAAGTTTCCATCGCGTATTTTTCCTCTTTGCAACAAAGAAATTTAATGGATACACTGTTGTACGTTAGTATGGGATATGATAAAGCGAGAGATTTTTTTTTTGTAACGTTCAAAAGAGCGAAGGGGAAAAGCAACGTAACGCGCGTATTTTTTCTTTGATAATTACAAATTAATTTATTTTTGCATTCTTACGTCACTTTTGTCTCAACTGAGACATCTTTTCATTGTCTCTTTCGTTTTTATGCATTTGTCAAGTTTTTATTACGCATGAATTTCCATCTTCTCTTCACAATTAAGCTGTTTTATGAGGTAATAATTTTTTTTTTTTTTTGCACTTTGTAAAAGACGAAGAGAAGAAACTTTC